AGAGAAGGGCCAGAGTGGTTTCCCTAAGAATCTTACTAGATTTTGTGGAGTTGTAGTTATAATTCATTCCAGTCTCAGCAGGATCATGTGCCAGCTGAAGATTGGCAGGAAAAAAACTTTGGACACCTTCAGCCATGTCATTCCTCTTGAGATACCTGCTTTGTAGCATGCCAGCTGAGAAGAGCCTTCCAGGAAGGGAAATCCCAGTGCCCTGCTAGATCAGTTACCCCACTTGGCACCAGATAAATGCAACATAAAGAGGGAAGCTTTCTTTTTCAATTTGTCACCCTACCAATACAGGGATATTTTAAACAGAGAAGGAATTTCACATTCAGAGGAGGAAGGCAACTGAGGACAAAATTGATTTCACAGTTACTGACTGGCTGGCTGATCATAAGTTTTTATATTACAGTATTTGAAGAAGGGTCAGAAAGCAAAAATAGAAATGTAGTCACTTTTTCACAGGGCTGCTGCCATGAGCAGGGCAAAAGTTTTGGTCACAGGCAGCAAATGTTCGTTCGGTATTAGACTGAATGTTTGTTGTGTAATATTAAATTTGTTTAGAACTAAAGGGTAAACAATATAAATTGTGGAGATGTTATGAGGATCTGGATTTTCTGCCTCAAGAACCAAAATAAATTAGTCTGCCTCTGCCCTTTCCTCAATTAATAAATGCCCAGGTTTGATGATTGTTCTTCCGGAGATCCAGATATTAAATATATGGCCCTGATTAATTAACTAAGGGCTCATGACCTCACACCAATGGTGCAATAATCTTTTACACAATCACCATTTATTTCAACATAGCTGTGGTATAAATCCGATTGATAGTCCCAACTAGAGTAGACTCAGTGAGTGAGTGGGATTATGTGAGGGTTGACTCTCAACCATTCAGCAGTTGATTAAAAGTGACCACTCTGCTTGGGTCTGGCAGTAAAATTTAGGTTCATGTTGTGAACTTTTTACACAGATTGTTTTCGACTATGATTGAAAACAACAAACGGGGGGGGGCAAATCCTGCTGTATGTTTCCCTGTCCCTATGTGTTCGTAGTGTTTCAGAAGTTGATCAAAATCTCATCCTACAAAATAAGAATAGAAATTTCAGGAGGACAGTGACAGTTGTGTAGGGATAGGAGAAAGTTTTGTTGAACTGTCCTCATTAGGATGTAAATTTATGTAATCTGCAATTCCTAAACCCGCAGCATGAGCTAGAATGCACTCTGCACTCTGAAACCTGCCCTTTCCTTAGTGTTCTGCTCATGTTAATCAAATAGTGTGGCACTTTGGGTTTACATCTGGTTCAATGCATATTCTTGCTCCTGTCTATCTTCAGCTCTGATGAAATTCCACATTCTGAATACTCTTCAGTGCTCTGAAGCTATCACAGGTGGAGCTGCCTTTGAGACCCTGGAAGGCAATACTGTTGAAATTGGCTGTGATGGCGAAAGCTTGACAATCAATGGAATCAAAATGGTGAACCGAAAAGACATTGTTACAAGCAATGGTGTAATTCATCTCATAGACGAAGTGCTTATTCCTGACTCTGGTGAGTTACTTCAGTTATAAACATGCATTTACTTAAAATATTTATATTATCCTTTTCTCCTCAAGAGCACGCAAGACAGCTAACAATACTAAAACAAACAATATAAAAACTGGAAGAGGGGAAAAACAAAAACAAAACAGCAGCCATTCTCTTAAGCAACTGAGAAAAAGCCTGTCTGGAGAGAAAGGTCTTCACCTGCTTATGGAATGACAGCAAAGAAGGGGCCAGGCTGGCCGCCCATGGGAAATGTTCCACAGCTTGGGACCACTGATAGAGAAGGCCTCCTTCTCATGTCCTCATCAAACAGACCTGTGAGGGTGGTGGGACTGAGAGAAAGGCCTTGGTGATTTAAAAATCCAGTCAGGCCAGGAAGGGAAATGTCTTTCAGATAGCTTTGGCCAATTGTTATGAGGGGCTTCTTGAATCAAAACCAGCACTTTGAATTGTGCCTGGAAACGGACAGACAGCCATCAGAGCTGTTGTAATAAAAAAGTTATGTGTTCCTTCTAACCAGCTCCAGCTGTGGCATTTTGAGCCTGCTCATGTATCGTGTATTTAGATTGAGACGATGTGTCTGAGAGTAAGAAGTATCAGTTGGGAGTGTCAGCAGGAACGTTCTGTCTGATTATTCCTAACAAAGCACAGTAGAGGGGAAAAAACTGAATCAGACCTCTGGGAATGAGCAACCAGAGCCTGGAAACAGGGAGAACAAATGGGTTTGACAGAGGACTTCAGCAGGGGAGGCCCCTAATCTTTATTTAATTTTTTGCTTTTGTAGATAGTCATATATTAGTGAACAAACAGACCCTAAGTGAAGCCACAGGTCAGTGCCCAAGGCATCAAAAAGGAGTCCCTCAGAATCACCTTTTGAGCTCTTCCCTCCAGGAAGAACTGAAGCCACCGCAAAACAGTGCCTCCAGGTTCCATCCTAGACACTAGGACTTTGCTGCCTTGAGATATGGTCAATGGTATACTCTTCCCTCCAGGAAGAACTGAAGCCACCACAAAACAGTGCCTCCAGGTTCCATCCTACACAGTAGGACTTTGCTGCCTTGAGATATGGTCAGTGGTATCAAAAACCACTGAGAGGTCCAGTAGAACAAATAGGGATACAAACCTCTATCCATTTCACAACGTAGGTTATCCACCAAGGCAACCAAAGCAGTCTCTGTCCCATAAGCAGAAACCAGATTGAATGGATCTTGATAATCTGCCTCAGCCAGAAACCCTTGGTTCTGAGAAGCCACCACATGCTCTAATACCTTGCCTAGGAGTAGAACATTTGACTGACTGATAATTCAATGTACACCAAATCCTCACTGATTCAATGGGACTACACTAAGGGATTTACTCTCCCTCAAGGAGGTAAGAGGGATGGCTTGTAGAGAAAGGGTCTTTTCGGCAGCTGCCCCGAAACGATGAAATGTCTTCCCGAGGGAGATTCATCTGGCACCAACGTTGATGACATTTCGGCGCCATGTCAAAACCTTCCTGTTCCTGAAGGTTTTTAATTGAAATAATATCAACTGCGGGTCCTGATGGCAATTTTTAGAGCATTGTATTTTTAATTGTGTTTAATTGTGTTTATCTTTTTATTGTATTCATATTGTTATAAGCTGCCCAGAGACCTTTGGGTACTGTGGGTGGCATGTAAGTTAAATAAATAAACAAGAAGATTTTGGCCTCTGTAATGTAAATCATTTTGGAGCAAAAGCTAACATCTCTCCCTTGATGCTTTCTCAATTTCAGCAAAACAAGTAATTGAGCTTGCTGGTCCACAACAAGCCACCTTCAAAGACTTGGTGTCACAGGTTGGTCTGGCTGCATCTTTAAAGCCAGAAGAAGAATACACCCTGCTAGCTCCACTAAATGGGGCTTTCTCTGGTAAGCAGGCGAAAAATGTTTTTATAATTAGAATCAGGAGGTTGTGCGTTCTTTTCTTTTGTTAGAAGTTCTGGGTGAGGGTTTTGAAATAAGTTAGAATTGCTGTATATGTTAAATAGTATAGAGGCATCAAAATTCTTTCAGTAGGGTTAAGATGCTGAGGCTACAACTAGGATCTACACCTGAAGATAACCCTGTAAGAATGCATGACCTTTACACTGAATGGCAGTTCAAATAATCAACAATTCCATGATCATCCATTACAATGGGATCTCAGACCTCTTTTAGTGATTTCCCTGTAGAGAGCCATCCCCAAGAACCAACTCTTTGCTCTTGGAGTTGGTCAGACAGAACCAGCTCACACAAAGGGAAGTGTAACATGTTTATTTGGGTTGTGTTTCAGAATGAATTTAATCAAAATCTCACATCCCAGACTGAATCTTAATGTGGAACATAGTTTCTACTTGATAGGTATACATTATTCTAAGTGCTCACCCAGCCAGGTATACAATGCAGTTGTGTATATTATAAAGTGAGACACCTTTGCTTGGAAATGCTCTAGACTAGTGTTTCCTAAGCTTGGGTAACCCAGGTGTTCTTGGACTGCTACTGTGCTGAGTTGCAGTCCAAGGACACCTGGGCTACACAAGATTGGGAGCTATTGCCCTACATGATTATTTCAATGTGTGACAGTGAGGCTGGATTACTTCAACAGTAGAATCCCTTCCTCCACACCACTCGGCCTGCTACTGCCATTTTAAAAGAGAGCAATCACAGACAACATCATTGTCAAAGGAACAGAGGCCAAGAAAAAGAATGCCTCTCCTTCATATTCTGCTTCAGCCTTTGTCATCACTTTATATAACACTTTGGTATTCCAAAAGTTGCTTGTGAGTCTCAAAACATTGGACACCCCAATATCATGTAATTAATGTCAAACAACTGTGTGCTAAAATGCAGAAAAAAGATTAGGTTTTAGCAAATAACATATTGGACAGATTGTGTGTAGGGATGAATAGCATCTCCATTGTGATGGAGATTCTGATGATTCTGATGATACATTATGTACAACATAAAATTACTGTATAAAATAACAGAAAAGCAAACCTAATGTAGCTAGTACGCTTTATCCAAATGGTTAGATGACACCTTAACCATGGACCAGCGGATCCTCAAGCTGATTCTGCAGAATCACATTTTGAAAGTGAAAGTTGGCCTGAATGATCTCTACAATGGACAATTCTTGGAAACTCTGGGAGGAAAGAAGCTCCGAGTATTTGTGTATCGCACAGTAAGTGAAATTAAAATATCGGAAAACTTTTGAAGTAGCAAAAGATTACAGCATTCTGAAATTGCTTAAATTACAATTACTCCAGGTAATCTCACCATGCCAGCTTTTTTTAAAAAAGTGGTATATTAAAAATAGTAGAAAGGCTTTTTTAAAGTGAAAAACTACACGCCTGTACCATTATTGGACACAGTGCAATTAGCTTCCTGGTATAGATGGCTAATAATTCACTTTTAATGGTCTTGGACTGAATAATAACCTGGTAAATGTTTGGTGCAAAATGTGTTCTACCCAGAATACATTTTCTAGAATAAACAGTGAAGAAGGTTCTTCACCATTTGCTAGAAAAATGAATTAGATATCTGTATTCACTGAAATACATATTTCACACACACACACACACACACACACACACAGAGAGAGAGAGAGAGAGAGAGAAGTACTCATCCAGCCAGGTCAATTTCAATCTATGAAGAGAAAACCATGCTGATTGTTGTTGGAACCTGGAAACGAAGCTGATGCAGTGCTACATAATCTTTGTTCTTGGATGTTTGGTGCCCAAAGTAGTGTGTAGTTGCAATGATGTGATGGATTCCTGAATGCCCATGTGTCTTATCTCTCTATATTTGTAATTCTTTCAGTTGTCCACACATCCCCTTATTTGTAAACAACCTCTTTTGCAGCAGCCTGGAGATCTAGGGGTCTTGAGTTCGGGGGGGGGGGAATAATGGGATTTTTAATTGTTGTTGCACCAACTCCAGAGTTTTTAAACCTAATATCTAGCACACTGCCACAATAACAATAATGTCATTGTTATGACTAAAATTTTGGCAATGGCTACAATTTTTGCAAGGTCTGATGGAACAAAAGATGGAAACATAAAGGATCTAGGTTCCCAGAAACCTGGAAAATCAGAATATTATAATTTTAAAGAATACAAATTCTAAAACTTGCATCCTTCACCCATGTCTGGGCATCATTTACAAACAAGTTCAAATATTAGAATTGTTATTGTTTGTCTGAAGCTAGCCACTTGTTTTTAAATGATCATAGTAAGCTATTGTTCAAGCCTCAATTTCAAAAGTACTTTCATTTTCAAGACTCTTTCTTCTGTATTTCCCTTATTATTTCAACACTCTATACATCCAAAATTCCACATCTTGACACCTTGGGTGAACACAAACAAGTGAGGGATCGTAATGGATTCATCCTCTCTCCATCCAGCCATTAAAATGCTGTTTCACTCAAAATACAATGGTGTAATTTTGAAAGAAGGTTTTGTACAGCTCTCAGATAAAATGCCATATCTAAACAAATTTGTTCCTGTAAAGATTAGAAACAAATCTTTTGCAAGGAATCTGGATGAATTATATTTGATGTAAAACAACGCCTGAGGAGGCCTGCTCAAATGTGTTTCAAATTTTTTTTCCACTGTATTTTTCACATGCTGTTGATCTTTCTTTTTTCATTAATAGGCCGTGTGTGTTGAGAATTCATGTATGGTCCGAGGAAGCAAAGAGGGACGGAATGGATTTATCCATGTTTTTAGAGAAATAATCCAACCAGCGGAGAAAACTCTGCATGAACTGTTGAGATCAGATAAACGGTTCAGGTATGCCGAGAATGTAACTGAATTAAAACTATTCTGTAAAGCTGCACAGCAATGAAATTTGGGTTGTACACAGTGAGACTGGGAGATATAAAGAATTATATTTGAAATTGTAAGACTCCGTTTTTTAACTTTTGAAGTGAAAATGTATAACATTTAAAACATAATTTCCTGGGTGGACGGTTGCTCTCATCAGTTTTAGGCAATGACATATCAAATACATGAGGCATTAGAAGTCAAAAACTGAATAATTCTTTTAATGGTCAAGTAGTAATTTAACTGGGAAACAACATGCAATAAATCATTAGTGAGCAATTTTCTGCATGCTGCTTGTAGACAATCAAAAGGGGCAGAAAATTGGAATGTTTTTGTGTGAGGCATATTTGTCACGTCTCTGTAGACAGTATGTCAACTTCAAAAGCTGGGTGAAGAATAGGCAGGCTTAATATATTATGGAACTAGCTGGCAATTCTTTACTCACATGGAGACAGAGTTTTAAAACGTTGTGAGACTTCTGTCGCATAGGAACAAGCACAAACAACATAAATTCATTGCATGACTTAGCTAGTTTGCACTTCCCAGATGTGTGTCCTGGAACATGATCACACATCTGACTTCACACTCTCCAGCATGTTGTTGATGGAGTCCTTTTTTCAAAACATGTACATAATTCATACATGAAAGGAAACTGCATACCAAAAAAGAGAATGGAATGTTAATGCATGAGAGACAGAATTCATCCATCCTTATGTGCTGATAGTTCTTGTGCAGATTCTAGTGTGATTCTGGAAATGGGGCTCTTTTTTTCTACCACAGGAAAATGGTACTCTCAATGTATCTGTCCAATGGACAAAATAAAAACAACTGAACAGAACAGAACATATGTCATAGAACTCTGTTTAAATCTTGCCCCCCTTTTTTAAAAGGCTAAAAGCAATGGTTAGTGGCTGCAAGAAATCTCATAAGCTAGCTGGGGCAGCATCTGCAGCTACTGCTGCAGAGGGAAAGAGTATGAGACGAAAGATGAGGAGACTGGCTGACACCAAATGTTCACTTCCTTAATTGCTTCTGAAGAAGGATCTCTACAATACAAACAGTGCAAGCTTATAAATGTCTACACAGATATAAAGCATTCTTTCTGTAAACATCCTGACACATGCTGATATAACCATCCTTAAGCATTTGTTGTTTAGTCGTTAAGTTGTGTCTGACTCTTTGTGACCCCATGGACCGGAGTATGCCAGGCCCTCCTGTCTTCCACTGCCTCCCGGAGTTGGGTCAAATTCCTTAAGCATACTGGTCCAATCTTCTTGCTTCTCAAGGAGCCCTTCTTGACTCACATTGCACCCAGCACCCACATTTGATATTGGAAGGAGAGGGAGATAAAACTCAAGAAGAGCTTGTTACCAAAGCTTGCAGTTCAACATTTCTCCATGCACACATATAGGTGTGTGGGAGAGATAGAAAAAGACCAAAAAGAAGAAGAAGAAGAAGAAGAAGAAGAAGAAGAAGAAGAAGAAGAAGAAGAAGAAGAAGAAGAAGAAGAAGAAGAAGAAGAAGAAGAAGAAGAAGAAGAAGAAGAAGAAGAAGAAGAAGAAGTATCTCCAGGCACTCCATCTGAATCGGGAAAAAGACATCAAGGAATGAGCATCACCAGAAAATGAAAAATAGAACATTATGGCTCTTTTTGCTTTGTGCAAGCTCAACAGAGTTGTCACAGTGCAGGGAAGGGCATACAAGGGCATGCTCCAGGGGCCTGTTGATCCCACAGGTCTCTAGGTGGAGGGAATGGCTATTTAAGGATGGACACATATGCATGCTTTTGTGGAAGGAAGCATCACTCGAGACAGTGCCCTTGTATGCCCTGTGCTCAGGCAGGCTGTGACAGGGCAAGACAGAGAACAGAATTCCCTGCACCCGCATCAAACTATGACTCTTCCATATTCTTTTGCCATTTGCTTTCAATAGGTTTTCAAGTGCTTGCCTTTTTCCAAAGTCTGAACTGTGGCTTATTATTTCATCCCCTTTTTTTTCTTTTCAGCATATTCCTCAGCCTAGTAGAAGCTGCAGATTTGGAAGAGGTTCTGTCCCAACCCGGTGACTGGACATTGTTTGTCCCAACAAACGATGCTTTCAAAGGCTTGACCGAACAAGAGAAGCAGACCCTGATTAGTAAGTAGATCATAAAAGGCAGGGGTGGGCAGAGGAAAGCGTGTGGGCCACCTGCACCTCTTTCCTGTTTTTAATCCCCTTGAGTCTTTCTGTTTCCATTAAAATGTAGCGACTCGTAGTTCAGTACAACTTCCCTTTAAACCAAGGCACATGAACTCATGCTTCTTGCTTTGTTTAATTTTTTTAAAGGGCTTTTTAAAAATATAAACTGTTACTCAACTCTTGGCCACTTCTGGTTTTGGTGAGAGGGGACGGTGAGGCCATGATGGGTCCAGATGTGCAAAACAGACCACCCAGGCCTTCCAGAGGTGCCCATGCCGATACAGGGGAACACTTCCTGGACAAGCAATTCTGTCATTGCTTTTTATGCAAATGACAGAATTTTTAAATATTGTGGCCTCTTGGCAGTACTTCTCTTCCATATTGCATCAATTGATATGTGAGCTTGGCCAGGGCACTTCCATTTCTAAGCAATAGTCTTAGTAGTAGAAAAAGGAAGGAATCTTTTCATTGCCATAAATTCCTCATAGGTAGCTGAGGTTGGGTCTTGCATCAAAGCAGACACAGGTCTGGTTCAAATGCAAAACTGAATGCATTCAATTGAGATCTAGACAATTTTTCTCTTTCTTGAACTACAGCTGGCCATGTCAGCTGGAAAATATGGAGAGCTGCAGTTCTCAGAAGTAATTTTCTGTGATGGAACAATGCAATCCTGATGGACTAAAATGGCATATTGAAAATGACTTTGCACCATCCTTTCCCTGGCTTAATTCTGTATCAACATCCCTGGGCCAGATGAGGTTTGGACCTGGAGTAATTTTCTCTTCCTCCTTTTTGGCTTGGCTGCTTGCACATTGCTTTGTCAGGGGGTCTCTGCCAACTGCCTGGCAAAATAGGGTTTTTGTTAGCAGAAGGGGCTTGTCCCTCATCCTAGCTCCCAAGAGCCATCGCATCTTGGGGTTGAGATTAGATTGTCAATGTTGTTATGTTGGGCAGACCCCAGCTCTGTGTTGGTGCAAGACCATTGATGTGAATTTCAGTGAAGAACTGCCACAAATTAAGAAGGCAGCATAAGCATTTGGTGTCATGTGCCAAGCCACACAACTGTTGTGCAATGCCGAATGCCTATGCCAATTTCTTAACTAGCATCAGTTTAGCACTGAGATTTATGCCAAGGGATACATACCAGCAGGAGTAAGTAATAGGATTCTGGCCACTAACCCAAAGTGTGATCTCTTGGGACAAGCCAAGAAGATAGGAAACTGTCTTTTGATTGTGACCCGTTTCAGTGAACCATACTCAACTCAGTAACCCATACCAGAAAGAGACTATGTCTGGATGTGTATAGAAATGAGAAAGGGAAATAGAGAATGAGTGTTCACTATGGATTTTTCAGTGCACTAGGCGGACTGTAAATGTACATACAGTCAATTACATGAAGACCTAGCAAAATGCAAATCATGGTTTGCAAAACCTGTGTCACTGTTCATTAGGGTTAGACTTTGAGGTGTCCCTGAATCTATACCTTTAATGGTGAGGACAGTTAAGGACAGAATATGCAGAGACTAGAGCTTCAGCTTCCTTTGGAGATGCATTTTATTTAGAGATGCATTTTACTTCCTATCTCACCATCTATCAGAATCAGGTCCTAAGCTAAGGAATGTTGTCATGTCAGAAACTCATTAATTCCTCCAGCCCAGGAAACAGCATGAGGTAGGCAATGCATCTGGTGTGGCTCTGAGACAAGATTTATTTTAGGGTAGTAAAGAAATTTCACAGTTGAAAGGTCCGTTCTTTCACCCTACCTGCTCCAACCCATCATCGGTTTGGGGGTACAGAACATGAATAGTCCTGGTACTGCTTTGGGCTCCAGCTTGTCCACACATGTATGCATATTCATGTACACACGCCCAACAGATGGGTGGATAGTCCCTTCCCCATTTTCTGTTGGTCACATTGCACATCCAGGGTAGAACATCTTCCAACCCTCTATTACACAGACACGACAGGGCCAGTGAGCCCATGGGATGATTGGGCACTAGGGATGTGCAGGAATCAAGTTGTCATTGCACAGATGTTGTGCAGGCACAGTGCCCTCCTTCCCCTGCATGCTCTCCTGTTCCTCGGGTGACGGACACTTCCCTCCCTGCCTCCCCAGTGCAACTACCCACTCACCTTTTGCAGCATCATCTTTTGTCTTCCGCCTTCTCCATCAGCTGGCCACACACGGAGGCAGCAGGGAAGGAATCCCTGCCCCACCTTCTCATCTGAGTGGCTGGTTGAGGGAGAAGGCGGAAGACAGAAGAGGACACTTCAAAAGGTGAGTGAGAAGTCGCACTGGGGAGGCAGGGAGGGAAGCGTGTGTTGCCCACAGGAGGTGGGTGCGATGCCGGCACAACACATATGCTGGCCCAGCAATGGCTTGCCCCAGACAGGGACAACTGAATTCATTCCTGTCTCTATTAGGCACTGTGTCCTCTCATTTAACCCTACTAGGTTATGTGGGCTGCAATGAGGAAAAGAGTTCTAGTAGAGGCATAACAGCATCTGCCACACGGTGGTTGAATTTATTCTCAGTGTGATGATGTCTCTGATTGCAGCCCATTTAGGATCAGCTGAGCCGTTTCATACCTCAGAATTCAGGCTTCAGTAAAGCTACTTGCACTAAAGCTGTATGTGGAGGATGCACCTTAACTTGACTCATGCTTCCAGGTTAGATTATTAAAAAAAAAAATTCTCGGGGGATCTCTAAAGCTATCTGCAGGGTGAATGAGACACTGAACTTGTTTGATGTTCTTGATCCTAACTTCAGGCTCTAAGTTGATCTCTAGGCTATGGAAAGAAACCAGAGTCTAAAATTAGGATAGTTAAAAGTAAAAAAAGAGGGTTATTTGTAACATTCGCGCAAGGAAAACAGGATATTGTGGTTGGTGAATCACCGATCACACAATGCTTATGTCCCTGGAGACCAAAGTACTTATCTTCACTACTTATCTTTCCCAGATGATCAAAATGCCCTCCGGAATATTCTGTTGTATCATTTAACTCGAGGTGTTTTTATTGGCAATGGATTTGAACCTGGTGTAACCAATATTCTGAAAACAATCCAAGGTGGAAAACTGTATTTGAAAGTGGTGAGTAATGCGAGTAGCCTTTTGAGGAATATCACTGAGCTTGTAGCCTTCTCCCTCCTCCTTTTCCAAATGACCGGTCAGCAACAGAGCAACCCATTCTGGGGAGCATCTCAGACCTCGGAATATGTAAAGCCTCTCCATTAAATTTGGCTGTTTTCATTTTGACCTCATTCCAAATCTTTTCCAGAGATTTTCAAATATGCCTCATGATCAATGGGGTTTTTACTCCATAAAACACTAGCCATTCTGAAAACCTGACACTCAACTGTATGAAGATTTTGTTCCTTCGTTTCATCAATATTATTTCATATGTAGATAAACGACACTCTTCTGGTGAATGAACTGAAATCAAAAGAATCCGATGTCATGGCTACCAACGGTGTGATCCATGTAATAGACAAGCTCCTGTATCCTGCAGGTGGGTTGTGAGTTATTACAGCATATTCATGACTAGACTGAATATCAGGAAAAACTTCCTAACTGTTGGAGTAGTATGACAATGGATTCAATGACCTTGGGAGCTAGTGAGTGCTCCAATATTGGAGGCATTTAGGCAACCGCCTGTCAGATCTACTTTGATTTAGATTCCAGCACCAAGTAGGAGATTGGACTCAACGGGCTTCTAGGTCCCTTTCAACTCAATTATTCTGTGATTCTATTATTCTGATCCCAGGCAGCTGCTGATATCATAGCAACCCTGTGATCCTATTGCAAATCAGGTCAAACTGCAGGGTCCCAGAAATGGGGGAAAAATATATTGGTTTCTGTCTTCTGTGTATAAGATTTGAATAATAATGTCATTGGGGGCAGAAAACATAACCCAGCAGCCCTTGTGCAACATGAAGCGGGGATGATTTTCATGGCCCCTCCCCTAAAGGCACACTAGAAAGAAAGACCTACCATGGGTGCCTGCAAATTTGCCTATTCTAGTGAAACACAAAATAAAATAATTAACTGATATATATGAAAAAAAAGAAAGGAAAAGAAAACAACAAACCCTCTTTCGGTACAAGGAGAGGTTTTTCTCTTTATCGTTGACGCTGTCATATTGAATTGACGTACCAACAACCAATTGGCTGCATTTTGAATCCAGTCCTCTGCCGTCCCACAGTTGACAGCAAACGAAATGAAACAAGCATTATTTTTAAAAATCTTACCCATGGATGACTGAAGCTAGTATTTTTTTTTCTTTTCTGTTCATCTGGGTGCAACCGGAATAGGGTCACTATGCCCTCAGCAGCTGCTTGTGTTCCGAAAGGTCAGCAGTGCCCTGAACCACCCTGTGGAGAGGGACACAACTCCCCTCTCAAGCACCCTGTACTCTCAGGCACAGCTCCTTGCAATGCTGGGTGATAAAAACGTTCTGGGAGTGGGCGATGGGCGATTTATAGAGGAATGGTTCCGAACCACGAGGCTCCTAGTGCTCTTGAACTCTGGCTCCTAAAAACCCAGAGAAATACTATAGGTTTTGGTTGTATTGACTAAGATTTCCAAATATTGTCATCCAGGTGCATTTACAAGAGGCCTGGCTTAGGCTACCAGGTATGAATTTAATTTGTAAAGATAACTTTAGTCTCTTTTCTCTTTGGAGAGGGATAATGTAGACTGACATTCCTGCTACAGAAAACCCTTGTTAATATTGCTGTTAACAAACTTTGAATGTTCATGTTAAATGTTAGACTTTGAGGGCCTTTTTCTGGCAGTGGTGTGAAAAAAGTGATGAATTTAATTAATTTTCAAGCTCTATTTTTGTGAAGAAGGATGAGAATTTTTTTTTATTCCAAGGCGTTTTATAAAAATAAAGCTATTTATTTACTATTATTGAAATGCTTACTATTTTATTTTTATTTTAGATACACCTGTTGGAAATGATCAGCTCTTAGCAATTCTCAAAAAACTGATCAAGTATATTCAAATTAAGGTACGATAACTGAATGAAACTTTGAGATGATGTTATGATAGCGATGCTATGATTATGACAGTAATAGTAATAATAATAAAAATGTTTTATGACTGTGCCTATTAGTAGTAGTAGTAGTAGTAGTAGTAGTAGTAGTAGTAGTAGTAGTAGCAGCAGCAGCAGCAGCATTAGTATTAGCATTAGTATTAGTATTATTAGTATTAGTAGTATTAGTAGTATTAGTATTAGTATTATAATCATCATCATCATCATCATCTGCAGATTCCAGAAATAAATCAAGAGAGCTACAAAAATTGGCAATATTAGGAACAGCATGTATAATATGTCAATGTTTTGCAATTACTCAGGTTTTTGGTTAAAACTTCTGTTATGTAATATCAGTCAATGTTTTTATAATTTTGATTGTGAAAAATAATAAAAAATGTTATCTTAATTCAAGATGCGGGGGGGAATTAAACCTCATGATAGACTGTAAATCACTAGTTCACCCAGTCACTTTCTTATATATATGCTGGCCTTAACTCTTTCTCTCTTTTTTTCATGCAGTTTGTCCGGGGTAGCACATTCAAAGAGATTCCACTGACATTTTATAGTAAGTGCTATTGACAGTAAAAGGGACAATCATTTTTTTAAAAAATTGTTGCGCAATTGAGAGGTGATCATGGGGAATCCAGTGGTCCACTTAGATAATAAGGACTCAAATAACTTTAAAGTCATTGCAACTATTTCATCCAGTTCATATCTTGAATATTCTAGTTTATAATAAAGGTAACGGACAATATGTATTCACTAAAATATGGCCTGCTGCAGGGACAGTTTGCTCCTAAATACACTTGAGCAACTTAGCTCTCCCCCAGAGTGGTCCTATTCACAGCCCCTGTCAAGAGCTTCTGCTCTTTTTGTGTAGGTAGGATGGCTCTGTTTTGGTCCATTTCCAGCACATGTGATAGCTATAACCAGACCAAAATGAGCCTTCCTCTAATTCCTCCAATTTGCCAATATGTGAAGTGACAGCCACTTTAGGATATTGGCAAATGAGTCACTTTCTTGGCCTCTCCATGAAATTGAAGAAGAAGAAAAAGTAAAATGTTTTAAGGCAACAAATATTTGCTGCACTACTTTACAAAAAAAAAAAAGACAAATTGAAAGCTTCCTCCTGGTAGCTTTTGATTGGTTTTCTTTTAAAGGTCTTGATGAGAGCCTGACCAATTCAGCTGCAGGCAGGCCCTTGACTGGACTGTTAAGTGAAAAAGCAAAGAAAAATTTTGGGGTGGAAGTTTTCCATTTGTTTTTTATTTTTGTAAAGTAGTGCAGTGAATAATTTGGTGCCCTAGTACACACTTTTTTAAAAAAAATCACTTTCTCTACTCTTTCATGGAGCCGAGGAAGTGATTAATCTGCCAATATCTTGAAGTGGCTGTAACTATTAGTTAAAGGCTGCGGACCAAATAGGTTTACTCAAGGTCTGTATGCCTTTTGGATGCAATGATCACACCAAATGGCATGCTGGACCTCTTAGAAACCCTGTTTAGCCCAAACCAAGTTACTCCTTTCATGCCATATAGACAGGCTCTCAGAATGACTGTCTAGATCACCTTTCTGCAACATTAAACAGCTTTTACCTCTAATTATGTGTTATTTTTAACCCATTATATGTTACCAACTATGTTAACTGTGCGGGTGATTTCAATCCAGTCATTTCTGAACTTTTTTTCAAATTTTTGGTACTTCTTTTTAAGAATTTAAATTTTAATAGCATATTTATATATCTCAATAAAAACATACCCTTTATGATTAAATGTACCATACATTTTATACTTATTCTTAAAGGTACAACTGGATTTGTTTAATGTGGGAAAATGGGGTTCAGAATCAGTGGGTTTGCAATCACTGGATGACTTTGGCATGATAAGGTTTTTGCATTTTATCATCCAAAGATACACAACCACTGAACTGGCAACAGAAATGTTTACACAAGACTTTGAAAAACATCAGGAATAAACAATAATTATGACAAATACTTGCAAAATAATTTCAGCCTCAATGTAACATAAACGAGGTTGTGTCTCCTTTATCAGACGCTATTAGTCCAAGGTTGCACCACCACCATTAGGAGAAATCAATCAAAGTCCATGGACATATCAAGCCAAAGGCAAATGCTATTCTATGCATGCTCCCAGAGATAACTGTTAAGGAACCACTAAAAACAGGGGAAACGTCTGAATTCCCAGTTAGGCAAACAGCTCAGTGTGGAAAGTTCATGAGGAAGGAAAGCTTCAAGCCTGCCCCTTCCCTCTCCTTCTGTGGCTCAAGTGGTTTTTAAAAATTGGTGAAGAAGGTGGTGGTGTAGCAGAAAAATTAGAAATGCAGGAGCTTCTTATGACAGTGCCTGTAGCTCCCGGCTAGAATGGTCCAAAAATGCAGGCAATTGCATCTATCCATATTAGCAAGTGAGAGGAGCTCTTTCGTAAAATTCATGGTGCTTATTTACCCATGTAAGTCCAAAAACACCTTTGCATTGCATCTGGCACAGCTTGTGACAATTTACTATTTCTGTGAAAATCCATTGTGTGTGTGTGTGTGTGTGTGCTGATTGTGTGAGCACTGGCTCCATTATACATTTGAAGAAGGAGATGTAATGCCAGGAGCTATCGTCTTAATGCACTCCAACACCCTTAGGCAATGGCTCTTAATGGGGCAGGCGCCTCTTATTTCTTCCTCATAGGAACAGGGTTTCATGGAGGAGAAAGTGCCTTGGTAGTCAGTTGTCAGGCAACTGGGCATATTGCAGTTTTTTTAAAAAGTGTTTCAAACATTATCACTTTAACTCAATTTGTTGTTGTTTCAATTTAATCAACTAAATCCCAGTAGATTGGCCAGGTTGGCCAATGTCATTGAAAAGGAAAGTGTAGGCTTTTTTCAAATTGTCTCCGTGTTTGCTCACCCAAGTTTTCTGTGCTCATTCAGCCACCCGGATTATTACTAAGGTTGTGGATCCCAAGATTAAAGTCATTGAAAGCAGCTTTGAGCCAATCACCAAAAAAGAAGGTAAAGGAAGCCAAAATGAAGAAGCCTTATGAATGATAGCAGATAAGGTTTATTTATTCTTTATTTTATATATTTAAAATATTTATACCCCAGCTTTCTCCTTAAGTGGTCCTAAGGAGACTGACAATATTAAAGCAAACAATATTAAAAATTTGAATAAACAGTAATAAGAAGAATGTTTCAGACACATCTATAGTATATGCCAGTGGTCCCCAACCTTGGGCCTCCAGATGTTCTTGGACTTCAATTCCCAGAAATCCTGGCTAGCAGAGGTGATGGTGAAGGCTTCTGGGAGTTGTAGTCCAAGAACATCTGGATGCCCAAGGTTGGGGACTACTGGAATATGCAACAGAGAGCTATGATATGTTGGAAGGATGAGTTGCCCCAGGATTCTTCTCCTAGCACCAGAGAATAAAGACCTCAATTAAGAATGCTACTGACATTTCATTTAATGTGAAATTTTGTGATGGATGAAGCCACATATTCCCAACAGAGACCAGAGTTTTACCTTGAGATCCTTCTGTTACTGATTTCTACTGAAGTCTTGCTGCCCTAGGAGCAAGACAGACAAATCCTGCAGCAGGTCTAGAGTGGGTCTAATAGAGACATTGCATCAAAGCAAATTTGGCCTAAATGCAGTTGTTAGTTCAAAGTTGAGTAGACCCACTGAACAACTACAGTGGTGACTCACTCACTGCTTTCCCTCTGAGCCAGGGTGTTTACTCTGTTTGGGGCTGCCAAGTGGATTTAGGCTCCATCTGTAAATTTTTTGAAACTTTTTTTTTCTACTGAACCAATTATGTTTGTGATTTGAAAGACAAAACCTGCTACATCATATGGATGCTTTTGTATTCCTTTCGGCTCCAAGGAAGTCTTTTCAAAATTATTTCCAGAGAGAGAGAGAGAGAGAGATGAATGCATGAAGTATATAAATCCATAATTGGTTGCAGCGGTTTTATTACAAGGGACTTGAGATGACTTGCCCCACAGCTAATGGTGAAATAATAACTCATGTGTGCCAATGGCTAGAAGATCTTAAACAGAGTTGAAATAAGCATCAAACCTGGCACATACTGACTGTCTGAGGAAGTGGATTTGTCTACAAAAGCTCACATTAAAATATGGCAGTTAGTTTTGGTCTTTTTGTTCTTACCTAGAATGAAGCACTTTCACATGCCAATTCATGTAATAAGCTGGGTATGTAGTGCCAGATATAGTCCTTTGCTCATTTACCCCAGAGGAAGCCCCACAGAACTCAAGGGCACTTTACTTCTGAGTTGTTGTTTAGTCATTAAGTCATGTTCGACTCTTCGTGACCCCATGGACCAGAGCATGCCAGGCCCTCCTGTTTTCCACTGCCTCCTGGAGTTGGGTCAAATTCATATTGGTAGCTTCAGTGACATTGTCCAGCCATCTCATCCTCTGTCGTCCCCTTCTCCTCTTGCCTTCACTTTCCCAACATCAGGGTCTTTTCCAGGGAGTCTTCTCTTCTCATGAGATGGCCAAAGTATTGGAGCCTCAGCTTCAGGATCTGTCCTTCCAGTGAGCACTCAGAGTTGATTTCCCTCAAAATGGATAGGTTTGTTCTCCTTGCAGTTCAGGGGACTCTCAAGAGTCTCCTCCAGCACCACAATTCAAAAGCGTCTACTTCTGCGTAGACTGTACTGTAAATCACTCCACTGAATTTAGTGAGTTCCTTTTTTTTTTCCTTTTTTATATATTTATTTAGGAACAGGGATAAAGGGTACAAAAAGAAAGAGGGGATAGAGAAGGAAAAATGGTTTTGGGGGATAGGAGAGCATAAAGTATAACATCATCCAATCAATTCATATTACTAATACATATCAACTTTTTGCTTTTTCACAGTTTGATTACCCTCCTGCTTTTACCTTATCATTTAATTTTAATTTTATTTTATGTTATTCCAACATTGTCTGGTAGCTGCTGCCATTTATACAATACATCCCATCGTTCAGTTTCTTTTTGAATTGAACAGTCTTTCAGCCCATCTGACAGAATATCCATTTTTTTCACTTCCCATATTTTCACCATAAGATTGTCTGGTTTCAGTATCTCTGCCTCCTTAAGATTTTTGTCATAATGCTTTTTAATTTTGGAAGCTGCATGGGTCACTGGATAACTCTCTACTGCATTCATATTACCTGGTGTCATGTCTAATACAGACGATTCTAAAGTCTGTACAACTTCATTTAATTTTTGTTTGGCATCTACTGTCCCCTCTTTCGTCCCTTTCATCAAATCTTCTAATTTGCTAAGACCTGCGTTCACTTGCTGGAACCCTGTTAATATTAGCCTTTGTATATTAATCTGCCATTCCTTTTCTATTTCTTGCACCACTATTCCAGAGCTTTGGGATTGAACAGACCAAGTCTCCATTTGTTCTTTTGAATTTTTGGGGTCCATCTCAGGCTTTGGGGTTTGTATAAATACCACAATAATCACCCCCTAGAAATCCTTCCACAGTTTCCACAATTTTATCAACAATTCAAACCCCTCATCATAAACCTCCCCTTAGATCTCCCTCCAATCTTTGTCCAAATATTGTAGTATAAAAATCAACTTTTAGCCCAGCAAATACAATATCAATTAGAACCGTGACGCAGTTATTTCTTCTTCTCCTGAGTTCAGCAAGCTTCTATTATTAGACTCACACGCGGTCTGCAGTCCGACAAACTAAACAACAGTCACAGAGTCTCAAACTGTCCAGTAGATTGTCCTTGGCGCTCGTCTTGTGATCTTCATTAACCCCTTAATGCTCCTTAGTCCAGTCGGCCACGTCAGCTCCTTCTCCCGAAAACCACCAGATTCTATTATTTATAGTTCCCAAAGTCCAGAGAAGGCAAAGAGTAATGTATCCCAGCCACACTGCATCCACCGAAGTCTCTTAAATCCAGTCAGACGGTGTTGCTGTCTGGGATTCTTCTCCAGAAACATAAGATTTATTTTTCCATCTCAGACTCTCGGCTTTAGAATCAGCCTGGTGTTTTAAGAGTTCACTTGGAGAAGCTTAGTTTCGCTTTTGAGTCAGACTGATAAGATAAACCCGCCGCTGCATTTATTCTTTCAGCCAAATATTTTCATTCTTATTTCAGCTTAATGAGGCTGTTTCATAAATCAGAGGCTTCGGCTTACTTACTTGTTATATATTTTTAGTTTATATTGATTGCTCTCCTCTCCCCCGGTAAAGGGTTCCTCGCGGCTCAGTGCCAAAAAATGGCGCCCGCTCCAGTCCGTGCACGGTGATTTCTTCAGAAGAAAAAAGTCCGGGTCTGCCTCCCTTTCTTCTCCTTCTGCTGCTCACCATCTGCTTCAGAGAGACTTCTTCTAGACTCTCCTTTGATCCCCATTTCAAAAGGGGGATCCCGGGCCGGAGGGTTCCAGTTTTTTCCAGAGAGCTCTTCTCTGGAGTTGCTGGCAGCACCGCAACAAAGCCCCGCCTCCAATTTAGTGAGTTCCTAAAGTGTTTGAAGCTGTTCAGATTATACTTGAGTAATAAGACAAACCCAGTTAAAATTATTTCTTAGGCAATATTTTGATTACAAAGTCTGTTACAAGTAAAATGTGTTTTTTTAAAAGCCGAACACATCTAATTCTCCAAAACTATATTTATTATCATTGTTTTTGACAGATGTTAAGACAATAACAAGAGTAGTTGGTGGCACCACCATTCGGAAAGAAATTGAAGGTGAGTAGTATGGGGGAGGATAAATATCAACATTTGACTTCCAATAAGGATGGTTTATAAACCAGAACAACCTGTTTTTTTTTAAAAGGAGGAGATAAAGAGTTTTCACAAAACATGTTGTTCTTAATGCAGATTTTTGAGTTACATTGGAATTGGTGTTCGGATTATAGAGCCAGGCAGCAAAGTCTGATGGAGGCATTTTAGAGCACCTCTCAAGACAAGCGTTCTTACCCTTTATTTATGCTGGAGGAATGGAAAGCTTCTTCCTGAACGTCTTCCTGATACTCTTTCAATAGCAGTTGTCATTCTGACCTTAGCACCTCTTCAAGGGACCAGTGTATTCAGTTCAATTCAAAGGAACAGGAGAAATGGGATAGCATACAGGAGCAAAGTGGGCAGCAACACAAAAGCACCCAATAGACATGGAACTCATCCCAATATGCCCACCTGGGTCTTGCTAACTATTGATAGGGTTGCACCATAACGTTCCCAGTATATCACAGTGCAACCCTATCAATAACCCTACATATAGATCATCTGTCACTTCAGTGTCAAGCTAGTGTTGTACCACATGAAACACTAACATACTGGTCACAGAAACCTTGGCTTCATCCATTTTTTTGGCCCCAAACACAACCAGTTACTTACTGACAGGTGAATACTTAATGCCAATCCTATTGATTCAATTGATCTACTCCGGTTGGGAGTATTTGGATTGAGGCCCATAGAATTATCCCTGAATTTGACCATTAGATGTTGCTTTTTAGAAGTACTTTCACCCCAGCATTTTTCAATATTTATGGCATGACTCTCATGTTTGTAACACATTTTCCTTTTTTGAAATAATACTTTGCAGTGCCATCTATTACCAAGGTCACCAAAGTGATTGAAGGGGAGCCAGAATTTAAACTGGTCAGGGAAGGCGAAACAATAACTAAAGTGATTCATGGAGGTGAATATGTTCTATTGGCTGGACATTGCTAACTGGAATGATTTGGAGGAAGAGGTCTAGATCTAATTTCGACTCAAGCCAGAAGAGAGGGATCCCATTAGCTGCTGGATTTGCTTGTTCAGCATGTGTTATCAATTATGTATTTCACCACAGTATATCATTATTCAAATGCCTTGCTTTGCTTTTCATTCTTATGAATGCCAGTAGAAGAAGCCAAATGCAATGTGCTCCTTCTTGCATGCTGAAATCTTGTGGTGTCTTACTGTTCTGAAATCTGCTTTCTGAATTACTGCCATGAGATGACATGGGGGAAGTAGCTTTGCCAACTCCTTTATTTAACATATTGAATATGTTTCTGAGAATCTCAACCTCTGAAACATTGAGAAGCTTGAGACCATTGTCATCAGAGTTGAGAACTACAACCCAAACACGGATGTGCTCAAGGTATAACACGTGTGTTTTTTTAAAACCTTGAAAATTCTCATCCTGGATTTTAAAATAATGTTCATAGTTTGAGATTGTCGATATTTGGCTGTGGCAAAATTAGCATGCTTGGGGGGGTGAAAATGGCCTTATTTATGCTCTTCTTCATGCAAACATTGAGGGGAAACCTTGTTTCTAACCATTTCTAACCTCTATTTCTCGGCCCATGTTTCGACATTTAAAAAAACCCTTGGCTGCATGATGAGGATATACCAAAACAAGCCATTGAATTATTCATTACTCTGTCTCTAACATTAAAAAAAACATTTTTATAGAACCCATAATTAAAAAATACACGAAAATAATTGATGGTCATCCTGTGGAAGTGACTGAAAAACAAGTGACCGAAGAAAGAATTATTCAAGGTAAATTGCATCAAGAATATGCAGTTTTAAACTCTAATATTATACCAAAAGGGGAGGAAAGAAGAACACTCATAGGTTAAAATCTTTTCCTATGGAGCCTGCTTCTGATTCTGGGGAGTCTGAATTTCATTGCCAGCTTCAGAAGAAAGCTCTTCCTATTCTGACCTTAGTCAGAAGGAAATTACTTTTTATTATTCCATCTGAAATACTCTGGAGAAATCCTGTGCCCCTCTTGTATTTTAAATCTGTGGCTCCATCCTCATTTCATCATTGCCATCTCATGTGCCTCTTGTTGTTTGTTTTCTAAATAATTGTTTCTTTGTACTATGGTCAAAACACAATCTGATGAAGCTCTGTAAATCAGCTTCTGGGAGTTATGTGGCGGTGAATTCTGCTTGGACAAGCAGAGCACTATACCTTTTCTTTGTGCCAGCTGACACCTTTTCCCTCACCTTTCACAAACCTCACTGTCCTGTTTGTCAGAGTGTCTCGGTCTCTCATACCAGCTGCCAAGCAGATCACTGCCTTCAATGCCACTGAGCACAGCAGGGCTTCGGCCAGGATCTCATTTCATGATTCTCATTTATCCATACTCAGAACAGGAATATCATGATAACTGCAGCACAATAAGGAAGACTGTGCAGGAGAAATTCTGCAAGTTAAGAACTTGTTTCGAATGCCTCTCATTGAATCTTTTGAACTTCAGGTCCTGAACTGAAATATACACAGATCACCACAGGTGGTGGAGCGGAGGCTGAGGAAACTCTTAAGAAATTGCTTGAAGAAGGTTAGTATTCAATTCATCAAAGAGAAATTATGGACTGCATTGAGTTTTGCTCATTATTTTTGTGGCCGCATTAAGCTGTTTCTCATGTAAAATGACTATTACGCATGCAACAGAATATTAGATTGCGTACTGCAGAGTCTGGAAGAGTTTAGCTCTGAATATTTGATCATGGTAAGAGTATGCACAAGATTTAACAGGGTTCACATTTCCAAGCACTGATTTTCAGGAGGTACAGTTAATATGTCTCTAACAATAAATGTCTGCAATGTGCTTTGCAGAAACATTGCTGTATGAATATTGGCACTCAGGTAAATTTTGTGAATATCTGAAAACCCAGAGACACACTTGTGAATGTTGACAGCCACCTAAATATGACAGCTAGTATTCATTTGGATATGCCTGAAATGTGAGGAAATCTTTATCACTTTCTGACATTAATAATATTCATCAGGAATTGCCAACATTCGTAACTGATAAACTTCCTCTACTGGAAGGCATATTCAAAATCTGCGGCAATTAACCAACAAGGAATCTGGCTTCAACTCTACATGTACCTCGCTGATACTATAATTCTTGTTCAAGTAAAACAAACAATATATATTGTACACCAGGAACACAACACGACCTTTGCTTTCTTTTAATGAAAGCTACCAGATGTTTGGTGTGGTGCTTATTACTTAAGATGGCTTATGCAATTAGAAATTCTGCTTGTTAAATGTGCAGCAGTTACAATTTCTCAATGTTCCATGTAAGTCTATGTCATGCAATAAATATGTGTCCTATCAGAGGTTACCAAGGTGACCAAATTCATTGAAGGTGATGGTCATTTGCTTGAAGACGAAGAAATCAAAAGACTCCTCCAGGGAGGTTAGTGAGTGCAAGACAACTAACCTCATTGCAATGGGGGCCTGAGAACTGCCTGGAAGTCTCTTCAACTTTTTAAAGACTGATCCAATTAAAATATGTGCGTGTGTGTGTGCCAAAAGCAAAGAATTGTGTTTGAAATGTTGACCTTCAGGCATTCGACTTAGCTCCATGTAATTACATTGAAATAAAATAAATTTGTATTGGTATATTCAGTCTTTAAACAGTTTGAAATGAGCAATGAACATTTTATTTTTAATATGGATATTTTAATATGTATTTCAAATAAAAAATAACAATTACAAAGTATTAAGTATAAAGAAAGTCCAGATCTTTTCTGATATTCATAAAGTGTGAATATTCATTGCTCATAAGTTAACAAAAGCATGTTTAGCATCCTTCATTTTATGCAGATTTTATGCACCGGTGAACTTTCAAAATTACAATTACTTTCAAGGCTACAATACAGCGCACTCATAATTATACCAAGCAAGTGGATGCAAGTTCATTTCAGTTAGTAAATCAGGAGAAACATATTTACTACTACAGAGGCAGCCACTTTGGAGATATGACAAACTTTCATTTTCAAGAAACTGAAAAAAAAAATGCTTTCTTTACTATATTATCTGTTAAAATTGCCTCTCTTAGATTGCCACTGTAATTACACCAGTGTAAACTACTTTGTGCCCAGTGCCAACCCTTCATTCTTGTAGGAAAAAGACATCATCACATGAGGTTGACAGTTTTGCTGGCCAATAGTATCTGTGCATAATCAAACAAAATTTTGTAGAAATGGGTGCACTGTATTGTCCAGAATGTTGTTCTGCATCTTAACAGTTTGCTCTTCAACAAAAAAATAACCAGAAAAAGAAAAACGAGAATGTAATGTTTTAAACATGGAATGCCCGTGAAATGAAGCTTTATTTACCAGTCTGGAATGTTGCTTCTTGCATAGATTAAAATGATCTGGCATTCATAAAGAGTGAAGAAAAAAAGAATTAAAGTACTTTGGCAAAATCTGTTGAAGCACCCTGACTCCTAAACCCGGAGTTATATGCTTTAATCTTAGTGCTGCTGAAGTTAATCCAAATCACCTAAACCTCTGTTACAATTAACCGCGTGCCAAATTTGGAAGAGAGGGAAGTAGATTGCAGACCACTAGCTTTTCATTGGACCAGAATCCTTCTCAGGGAGAATTCAGTGGCCTTTCCAGCAGGAGAACAATGTGGACCCAGAGAGAACAGAGCCCATTCCCTCCTTATTTGATACAACAGTAAGTGTGGTAGTTAATCGGGAGCTCTCATGCATGCTAGCGAGGGCAGGAAAGATGTGGGAATAAGTGCTATTTTATTTTATTTTTAAAAGAAGACTCATCGTTGTATAGAAAAATGTAACAAAGAACATCTCTTTCAGTAGACAGCTGAAAAGGAAAAGTGGATTCAACAGACAGTGGGTTCACAGCGGCACCTGAGAAATGAATAAAGGTGTTTTAGATGCCACTTGGGGGCTTTGAGGGTCCGCACAGCCCATGTCACTCTCAGTTCCCTTTTTGGTCAAATACATGCTTCTCCCATGAAAACCATTGTGGATATCAAGGGCCCCATCTAAGACCTGGATGATCCTGTAGAGTGAGAATAAAAGTGGGGTGGATGGTCCAGGGTCAGTAAAGTAGCTTCATCCAGTCAACTAGTGACCAGAATTGTTGGTCAGTTGTGCTGGTGTTAAGCACAGTGCCATAAACTGCGTGGTGAATGGCTATTAATGAACACGATACCACTTCTATCTCTAGCCGTGTGCCAGCCACAGTAATTGGCGTCACTGCCAAATATCCCTCAATGCAGTAGAAGGCTATTATCTGCTCCACTTAATTCTTTTTTTCTTACTCTTGCTTTTGTGCAGTACTGGCTAGAAACATTGTCTTTCAGTCGCTGAGTTACTTGAGAAGTTACATTTGCTTTTGTTGTTGCCTTATTTCCTCACCTGTTTTTGCCTTAAAGTCCATTCCCTATGTGAGACCTGCGTTTTGGTACCTGACAGTAGCAAATACTCCAAGATATGATTTAGATGTTATGGTTATGATAGTACTGGCACACTAATGTTTTTAGAACAGCGTCCAGATTTCCCTGTTTCAGTTTAAAACCAATGGAAGACCATCCTTCTACTTTCCCTCAGCAGTACAGGAAGCTCTTTGTGAGTTCTGAAATGTGCTGTCAGATGGCTGCAGTGTAAATCCACAAAACTGCATGCTCTTTGAAGAGTCTCTGATGCCTCCCAGGTATTGGCGGCGCTTAACGTCCTGCCGTAAGACACAGGAAGATGCAAAGATTGCAGCTGTGTCTATCCACACTCCTCTAGGATGAGACATTTTAAATCTTCTCAATCACTTTCCTTTCGAAAAGCATCCTGTCATCAAGCATCCATGCCTTAACTGATGATTGTTTTTAATACTTATCGTAGCTGGATCCGAGTTCACCAAGGTAACAAAAGTAATTGAAAGAGAGCCACAGATTATCGAGACAGAAATAAAGAAAATTCATCTGGAAGGTTAGTTATGCAGTAACGTGGAACCAGCCTCATATCCAACATGCGTTGTCCATGAAGCGGTCTAATTACATGCATGACAATCAATCAGGGCCAGATCCAGGGAAAATCCGAAGGTGTGGATCCTATGCACTTGCTGTGTAGCTTGGCATATCTCTGTATTCTGTTCCTCAGAAGGAAGTTACTTATTTCTGTAGTCGTTACCTCAATAAAGATTTCATAGTTTCATAGTCATGATCAGAATATTTTTCAGTTTTAGTTACAGATACAAGCCCAATGAAAAAGAATGAGGAGAAGGTTGTTATTTCATCCCTTCTTGTTTGTTTGCCTAGACCCTAGAGCATGGACTGTGGATCCCTTACCAGTGTTTCTCTTCATTAGAATGTGACCTTATTGAAGCACTGCCAAACTGTGAGAGTTGAGGAGGCGGGACAGGCAACATTCCCCCACCCCACAACTCTCCAGGGTAGAATGGAAGGCTCTCAAAGAAGCCTCTAATTGCATTGGTCTAAATGTGGTGACAGTCCTTTGGATGACGAGGAAACTGTGACTAGTCAAGGCTGCCAGTTCCTTGGAAGGCTGGCGATGTGTTCAGCCAAATGCAGCTACACCCTCTCTTCCAGCCTTTCTGGTCAACACAGGTTTGTCAGGGGTGGAGGGAAGAGAGCTTTGAATACGTCTGAGGGAAAATTTAATCGAATTGCTTTTGTTCCATATAGGTAACCTGGAAAAAAAAATTCTTCAAGGCGTATGTTACAGCTACAGGAAAATAATAAATTACATTTTAACGGGTTTCATTTTTACTATATTATATTCATAACTTCAGCATTATAGATCTCATTGCACATATATAAAACACTTATTCAAATATATAAGTGTTGCAGAATCATTAGAGTTGGTATCCAGGGTGTTTTTGTTTTGTTTTGTTTTGAGAAATATGTGAAACAATATGTTGGTTGGTTTGGTTTTGAGCTGTTACATGTTCACTGCAGGGGCTTTCACTGCATTTTCATTTATAATGTTTTAACTGTTATCCTTGACAACAGTCTAGAAGTGTGTCCAGGATTCATAGAACTGTCAAACATGTGCCATGATCCAAAAGTGTGTGTGTTTGTATTTCTGTTTCTTGATTTTATAAATCAAAACAGATTTCAAGAAATTGGAATGCAACTTATCAGAATAATCCTATACAAAAGCACTTCGGATTGATACAGTAGATTTCCACAATGGGTTGCGCCATTCTTTACTTTACTTCTTATCAAAATCAACATATTTTAAAACAAATTAAATCTATTAAAATTGTATTTTGAAGACACAGTTTCCATCTTTATCAAGTGCTTTAATGAATGAAGTATGATTGCAACCTTTCTTTCTTTCTTTCTTTCTTTCTTTCTTTCTTTCTTTCTTTCTTTCTTTCTTTCTTTCTTTCTTTCTTTCTTTATT